CCACACCTCCCTACCTGAAGAAGGAAGGTTTTGCATCAATAGTTCTGTTGCAAGTCCCTACCAGATGCTTCCTTTATGTCAGTAGGGACTTTGGATGCTCCGGTACTCACTGTTCCAACTTTTAACGAGGAATCTTTTTAGAATCTTTCCATCTCCATATCACTCCTGGTTTTCTTTAGTTTTACAGGATCTTTTCTAGAAAGTGTTGACAGCACCACATACGATATTCCAGGCTATCACACACAGATCAGCCTACCGAGCTGCTGGAGCTGCCCTGGCTGCTCAAACCGTGGTTATACCTTAAATACCCAATGGGCATAGGAGGCTCCCTTCCAACAAACTTTAGATGGTCTTAGCATGTCTTTGAATACTGGTATAGTATTCTCTCACCTGTACTCTAACAGCAACTGGTTTTGATTTGGAGGGGGTAAGGCTAAGATGGCAACAAAACCAGACTGTTTTCAAAAAAACACCTCAGCAACTTCATACTGTGGAGATTTTTTCTAAACTCCTTGGGTCCATGCAGTCCAGTGACCATTCAGAGTTGTTCTTTGACAAATCTTAAATTACCTTTGCTCTCTCTCTCACCTCTGTTACTTCAGGAGGACTATCTTTACAACCTCTTTGATGCTTAGGGTTTACTCGAGGACACTAACAGGAGGCTTGGCTTACTCTCTTGATCTCCGTGTTGCTTTCTACCTTCCGATTTAACAGACCCCGCAGACGCGTAATGTTTCGGTATGCTTTTAGTGGCGATTTAAAAACACTACTTGTGCCCGTTCAAGCTCTCAGCTCCACCTGTAATACGTGTGTCAAAATAAGGTATTACTCCTCCCTCCTTCACCCCCCAAATGACCACAGCGTGCCAGGTCGGTAAGGAAGCAGACTGCTTTCCCTGCATCAAAATCCAGGCTCTCATGGTTAAGGCTTCAGTTCTCACCTGTGACACGGAAGCGGGGCTGCCCTACCTTCCCCAGCTGCTGAAGATGTTAGTGAAATGCTGCTGCTGCTGCCACACAACAGCTTGCCTTCACCGTTACTGAAAACAGCTGTGCCATCTTGATACAAAGGAAGAATATTCAAATTGTTTATGTATACCTTAGAGGAATTAACACATTTCTTCTCTCCCATTTGGAAACTTCTGAATGGGTTCTGAGTTTAACGGCCACACCAACACGGATGAGATGGTGAATAAAGACAAACCATAACTTGGGTTCTTTTTACCAGCCATGTTTGACAGGTTATGACAGGTCCTTTCACATGAAAAGTGACTTAAGCATAGACAGCGGGAAGTCTCTTACCTGGCCTAATTAAGGCTGGGTCCAGTGTTTCTATTCTGTTTGTAGCCATGAT